TATATAGGGTGGTCTTGAAGTGGTTAAATACACCTTGCATTACCTATCTGCTATTTGTGATATCTCTTGTCCCAGGTTTGTTTCTCCGTGTTTTACGCTGCTGCCTTCTCTCTTTTTTATGATGTTGCAGCAAATTAGATAGGGGTCAAATAATAGTATTTTATGTTTAGTTGCTATTTATTGACCAGTTGCTTGCGACAAGCACAAGTGTACGCTATCGTGGAAAGGAATGCAGGTTATGTGTATCGGGGCAGGGACAAACATTCTGGCATCCAAGTTATTCCCTGCAGTTGTTCCGAGTGAAGCTGTGAATTTTAATTGCATAAAATCCCCTAATAAGACTTTTGGGATCTGCTTCTTGAACTTTAGTGGTTGGGGCATTTCCAAGCAGTTCTACATAATAAGGCTCTGTAGTTTCAGTTTGTGTCACACAACTTGAAATTTGGTTTCAGCAATGCAGCTAGTAGCAGCAGTACAGGGGATTTTTTTCCCCTAACAGTTAATCCTACTGTACACAGCTTGAATGTCCTGCTGAATTGGCCAAAATTTGAGCTGTGGGTGGCTGTCAGCACCTCCAACTTGACAAAACTTGATTTCAAAATCAAAAGGGTCAGGCGGAAAATTGTTGGGACTGAATGAGAGAAGTCTGTGTGTGTATGGCTAGCCTTCTCTATAAGAAACGGAATTTCACTAAAGTAAAGGGGTATTCCCTCACTTTTTTCACCCTGTGCTTAAAGTGTAGTTTCAGACATTTTGTTCTATATTTGGGTAGAGTGGGAGTCAGGTTTTCATTTGCTGTCTGACTCCACATTCGGGAGATTCCCCTTTATTTCCTGTCCAAATTGCACCAGTTAATAGGAGAATACATAAGGGAAGATTGTGACACATGCAGCAATTCAAAACCCTTCAGTCAAGCAGGTACAGGGCTATATTCACAATCAGTTCTTTATAGCCTTTGTCCACAATGGGGAGATTGTTTCCTCACTTGGTGAGGTTTAATCTCTTTAGGAGGGAGGTAGATGGCAAAAGAGAACCTAACAGAGGTTCGAAAACCTTGTCTATATGGCTAGAATTCCACATTATTTATAGTTGGAATCTGGTTGCTGTTGGCACCACCCTTTTTTCCTTTCTTGCATATAGATAGTTAGGCCTTTTCTTTTCCTTTTAATGTTAAACTAACATTTTGATTTGTCAGAAAACCAGCAGACCTGCAAAACCTTGCTCCAGGAACGCATCCTCCCTTTATAACCTACAACCATGAAGTCAAGACTGATGTAAACAAGATAGAAGAGTTTCTGGAAGAGGTGCTATGCCCTCCCAAGTAAGTAAATTAGTTTATGTAGTACTATTGGGAACGGCAGATCATTAATAGTAAGAGTAAAATCCTTTCAACTAAAATCCCTACCAAATGATTTGCAAACTGTTGCTTTGCATTAGCGTGCTAATATTCTGGGTTTAGAAGGGCCAACAAAATAAGCATGTTTAAAATATGTAAACATTTTCTATTTCTAGGTACCGCAAGTTAGCAGCTAAACACCCAGAATCCAACACTGCTGGCATGGATATCTTTGCTAAGTTTTCAGCATATATTAAGAATTCCAAACCAGATGCCAACGAAGGTAAATGCATAGCTCTTCAGTGTTAATTAGGATAGGTTTCAGTGAGGGCTCAGTCTTCGTTGCACAACTTGCATTAGCAAAAAGCTATAGACTACAGAGGCAGCTTCATGCCTGTGTGCCCACTGTATCCAGAATGAGGTCTTGCTGAGGTCATAGAGTGCATTTCTTTCTGTAGTATGCTTAGTAGATTGAGTCAGCAGCAGCAGTTCTGCATACATTTTAGTTTTTTTAATGTAGCAGCATAAAGTAAGCAGAGTTTCTGCACCAAGTTTGCTGTTAACTGCACAGTGTCTTTAACTATCCTCACTGCCAGGGAGCTTTGGATAGCGACCAGAAAGAACAAGTTCACAAGAGCAAGTAGTGGATGTGTGGTTTCTGCATAGGATTTTTTTTTTTCTGAAGACTTAAAACTTTGAAGGCGTTTTTGAGCAGTTGGAAAGCGCTTTTAAATGCCCAACACAAGGAATCATGATTTTCAGTGGCCCCTCTTCACACCTGAGCAGCAAAACACCAAACGCCCGAATAGGTATACAAGCTTCTTTGGGCAATTAACAGCTCGTGTTTGCCCCACAGACTTTAATGGAACTCCCGAAAATGCGCTCTAGTATGTGCGTTCGTCCATTGCCCACAATGTTTCTTAAGCTGCCAGTCAAAACATGCATATTCATGTACGAGCATACAAACGCACGTCAAAATGTGCAAATTGTGCGCTAAACATGCACGTTCAAATGCGCAAAAACACCTAGGTGTGAACCCCGCCTGAAGGTAATGCTCCCTTAGTTTACCCCTTTTTATATTGCCACTACTGTATCCATTGCAACAATACATTAAGAAACTGAAAACAAACTCATGGCTGTGGGTTTTATCAGAGTAGATTGAAGAACATCTGTTCTCCGCTCTACTCCATGTGAGCACTGACACAGGAATGCTGCACTCGCAGCCTTTCTGCCACAGGGGAACGAGCACAGTGCTGTGCTAGAACTCCTGTGTTGGAGGTGACGGCCAATAAAGAGAACCTGTCAACTCCAAATGCTATCACACAAGATCTTGTTAGCTCCTGTGTGATAGCAATAAAAGTTGAGTGAAAAAAATTGTAAAATATAAATGCATAAAAACTTTAAAAAGTAACCACCTGTGATGACCTTGCCAAGGGTCACTTAAAGGGTTCCTTAAATATGTCCAAACTTTCCCTGTACAAACACTGTTACAACCAGTGTTGTACTTAATTTGGAATCACCCCCAAAAACATCCTACTCTTTAATGGTTTGCTCAGCAATATCCTATTGAAGAGTTCCTGGCTTTCAGAAAGTAATTTTCAGGCCTAAAATGTGGAATATAACATGGGTGCAAAAAATGAAAAAAAAAAGGCCTCAGTCATGAAGGGGTTAATGGCAATTTTTGCTGAAGTTGCCTTTAAATCACAGTGGCATATTTATAAAGTTGTAAATGTGACCTTTACCAAACAATCACTGCAATTTAAAACACATGCAGCCAAGAAGACACATCTTCAGGGGATATTTGGTGAATGTCACATTCACTTCTTACTACTTCAGTATACCCCATAGTTTATGTCAAGCCAAAACTTTGTTTTAGATAGGTTTTCTAATCCTTCCCCACCCTGTCAAGTTTTTACTGCTATCCAGGGTTCTATAAGATAGATTTAGGACCACTTCTTGCCTTGCTGGCAACCTTTTACTAGACAGAAACACCAACGGAAGTTAAATGCTTTCTTTTAGTAGGGTAGGGTAAGACCAGAGCCTCTAACCAAAATTGTTTTTCTTCTTTCCCATGCTGCAGATTTTCTCTGACTTCCTGTTTGTGAGTAGGACAGGAGGTGAGGGTAAATCTCTCTGGCGTAGCCCTGGATAACAGGAAAAAACCTCCACTCTACTTAAAACCCCCATAAAGTTTTTTTGGCTTGACATACACTTTAACTTCTGCTTAAATTAAGCATTTACAGTCCTTCATAGTTCTCCTTTAACCTCCCTGGCGGTATGATTTTTAATTTTTTTTTTCATGTAATTTTTCTGTTTTTTTTCGTCTGTCGTTTTTTATTTTTTATTTAAATATCCCGCCGCTTCCGCCCCCCTGCAACGGAAGCAGACATCGGCCGCAGAACACAGCGCGGCTCGAGGGACAAGGTAAGTAAATGCTATGCGGCTTTCCTGAGTGTAGCTCGGGGTTACCGCTTATGGTATGGAAAAGTAACCCTGAGCTACACTCGGGAATACCGCCACGGAGGTTAAACAATGGGCTTCCCCGTTTATAGATTCAGCTATGTCCTGTTTGAATTAAACATTAACATTCCCTGTAGAGAATGTTGCTGTTTTCAAGGACCATGTAGTCAAGAGGTTAGACGCCCTCTTTAAGGTCATATTTGCACATGCAGGCCATGTTATGCAACCTGCTGTTGCCCCGCATGGTGGTGTGTCAAACCTTATCTGTGTGGTCTATGGTTGGGGACCCTGGCTCTATCTTAACAGACCTTGCCACTCAAATTATGGCTCTCCCGCCCAGTCACCCTCGTCTGCCTGGCCACCTCGGTCCACACATGTAAGAAATTTACCCTGGTCCGCCCGGCCACCTTGGTCTACAAATGTAAGAAATTTACCTTGGTCTGCCGGGCCACCCTGGTCCTCCCGGCCACCTTGGTCTGCCCTCCCGCCTGGCCACCTCAGTCCACACATGTGAGAAATTTACCTTGGTCCGCCCGGCCACCCTGGTCCACCCGGCCACCTTGGTCTACACATGTAAGAAATTTACCTTGGGTCCGCCCTCCCGCCTGGCTACCTTGGTCTACACATGTAAGAAATATACCTCGGTCACCCTGGTCCGCCCGGGTCACCCTGGTTCGCCCTCCCAGCTTTGACGCGTTGAGGCATTGACTCCACTACAACTCTGAAGGTCATCAACGTCTGGGACACTTGTCGCCCTATATATCCCAGCCACTTCCAGGTGCCACTGAAACAAGAAAATCGATGTTAGTCAATGACCGGTCAGTGGTCATAATGTTATGGCTGATCTGTGTATTTTGAGTCTGAGTTATTTATTTATTCCCAGGACAGTTTCTCTTTGTGGAGATTCCAGAGGTTTACTAGGCCACTGATTCCTTCTCTGTGTCCATCAGATACAGATTGGGGACAGAGGTTCCCTGATCTCTATATGAGCTGACTTGGAGCATCATCAGACTGAAGTGGTCAGAGCTGTTGCAGATGAGATTGGTAAATGGGACTTCACTGATCTCTTTCAGCTTGGCTTCCTGGCAACTGCATGAGAGCTGGCTGAAGAGGATGGTAGCAGTGAGAACAAAGCTGTTCTATGCCTCCTCTCTCTCAACTCACAGACCCACCTCGCCAGCAGGGTTGGAGGAGCTGGGGAAAGAACAGTTGGAAGACTGAGTTATTTGTAGTGCTGAGTGGTTGTGCTGCTGCTTTCAGTTTGTGTATGTTTTTTTTTATTTATAACGGAAGGAATGAGGGAAGCGTTTTCTCATATTGGTAACGGTACTAGTATATATTTTTATGCATTTCTATAGCACTGTGCTGCCCTCTGCAGTCCAATGAACACAATGTAATCTATGACACTGATTGTGAAACCTGTTTTGTTTAACTTGTGAATGTAGCATTTGTGATCATATGTTCCACCCTGCCCAATCCCTGCTTATTTACTGATGTCTTATTATTTCTACACCGTAATATTTTGGTTCTAAAATGTTTCCCCATTTTTTTCTGTAGCTTTGGAAAGAGGACTTCTAAAAACTTTGCAAAAGCTTGATGACTACCTAAATTCACCACAGCCTGATGAAATTGATGAGAACAGTATGGAGGACGTTACAGTCTCTAGCCGAAAATTCTTAGATGGTGAGGAAATGACCTTGGCTGACTGCAACCTCTTGCCAAAGCTTCACATAGTCAAGGTATGAGAAGTAAATATTGATAAAAGATCAGTAATTCATCGGAAAAAAAATCTAAATTTGTTGGCTTGACCGCTTTCAATTTTGTTCTTTCTCCCTTTTGCAGGTGGTAACCAAAAAGTACAGAAACTTTGACATCCCAAAATCCATGACTGGGATCTGGAGATACCTGATGAATGCATACAGCAGAGACGAATTCACCAACACCTGTCCAGAGGATAGAGAGATAGAAATTGCATATGCAGATGTAGCCAAAAGGCTCACCAAGTGAACTGTAGTTTAAAAACCAGACGAGGCCTTAACATACAACAGATACTTGTAGGGCAGAGTTCCAATTTTTTTTCTCGTCATCACAAAAATGTATTTAGTTTTTGTTTTAAGTTTAACCCAGTACAAAAAGAGGCACACATTACCCATCATGCTCTCATCTAAAGTTATTGTTTTGGATTTTATTTATTGGGTCACATGAGTAAACATAGTTGCTGTGTACAGTGTTAGAATTATCTTTAAAAAAAAATCACTTCACATAAACCATAGATGACTTGATAAGGGTTCAATGTTTCCTTCTATTCATTTTGTTCCCTTTAAATTTTTGTTTCCGTCCATCAGGGTGAGATACTGTGCCATAAGTTTACTTTTTACTGCCAACGGTTTTACCTGATGTGCCATTTTCTTTATAGCTGCAGACATTTTTATATGGTACATAATTGAAGAAATTAGCCTATTAATAGCAAATCATTAATTTACCTTTACCCATCATTTCCATTTATGGTGATGGCACACTTGTTGTTTTTCAGGCAGAGTTTTTACTGCTTTGGGCATAGTTTGTCCAGCAAATGATCTCAAAAGTTTATTTGATATATTTATTTATAAAACAGTGAATGTAACTTTCACCAAACAGTCTCAGGTGGAGAATCAATCACTGCCATTTTAAACACAGCCTGAAAGATTCACCTGCACAGAATGCTTGCCTAATGTCAGATTCTCTGATTTTATAAATATGCCCCTTAGGTTTTTACACATGCTTTTTCAACTTGTCTGATGGTGAGAAAAAACATGGTGTTCTTAATTTGACAGCTGTTGTTCGGAACAAATTCTTTCTTTGCTTGTTATGCTACTGAAATGACAGCAGCTGTCCAAGAGGTTTTGTAGCTATTGTGCCACACATGCAGCAAGAGTACTACAAAATAATCTTGTATAACTGGTGAAGTAAAGTAGGAAATACTCTAATCTTGTAAGAGATACAGCAGTTAAGGTAAGAAGCCTTGTTTTGATAGGGCTGTGGGCATGAAATCTCTTGGTTGAAATTATGTTATGTGACCCTTAGCTTAAAGGAACTACCCTCTTTTATATTTTAAGGAGGAGTTTGGCAATTGTAGGAGATGGGTATTGGCAGCTGGTTGGGAAATAAAGAATCAGCCTTTTTTTTGTGCAACATCTCCAGCTCGTATTCATTTGCCGGCTTGTATCCTATGAGTATACATTAGTCAGTCACTGCGAGACACAACCTCTTGCCATTGACGGCAAAAAAGCAGTAGTCTGCTATTAAAAAAAGGGAAGAAAAAAGGAAACCAAACTTCCAGGTCAGTTACCTATGTCTGACAATGATAACCTGCACATACTAAATTTCATACAGCTTGCCTGTCAGTGTGTTAAAATAACAGGTGTTTGGCTCCAGCCATTTAATGTCTTTACCTTACTCTTTTAAATAAATGGCTCATACTTTGATCACCTGTGGATCAGTTTAAAGGTGCCCATACACCTTACGACTATCGCAAGACTTTTGTCTTGCGATGGTCGTATGCTTATTGAAAGCTCGTACGATCTGCCCACCTTGGACGGGCAGATCGTACTTGCGATCATCGAAAGCCCGCCCCGCTGAGGGGCGGGCTTCCGATGACCGCAATGCAGAATGGGCAGTGTGCGCGCGCGCACACCGGCCCGCTCCGCAGCTATCGGACGAGCAGGCTAGAAACCCGCCGACAATCGTACGATTCTCGGCGGGTTTTCGAGCATGTTGGTTCGACAAAAGACGCGCGACCGTACAGTAGACACGGTTGCAAGTCTTCATTCACACTGCTCGATTCTCGTACGAGAATCGAGCAGTGTATGGGCACCATAAGTTTTGCATCACATATCATGTGTGCTGTCAAAATGAGTGACAGTTATCGATCTATTTGAAAGTAAACATTGTGGTTGATTTAGTTAACCCCTTCGTGACTGACGACGTACAGTGTACGTCGCCAGCATCGGGGCTGTTTAAACAGACTCCCGGCGACTTTTGCCGCCGGGACTCTGTTTAAACTTGTAGAGCCGACTGTCGGCTTTACAACAGTAGCGATC